TTAATTTGAATTAATTATCATAAATTAAGATAAAAAGTTTATCAATTAAGATTTTTTACATAACGATAAAACACATAAGCAAAGTAAATATATAACTTGTATCTAATAACTTTATTCTTTTCTCTAATTATGATCCATAAATGATTATAAAAATAAACAAAGTTAATAATAAAAGTTTAATTAACTTGTCGACTGATTTATTTCTTTTTTATTTGCTACATTTTTTAATTAAATTAAAAAAATAAATTACCTTTCAGAATCTAAATTTTACAGCAAATACAAGTTCTGATGACATAGATACAAAACAAAAGTTCTATGCAATTCATACTTGCTTAATCTTCAGGAATTTGGTGGGGAAATAGCTTTAGAGTGTGAATCGAAGCATTTCGGGAACGAATTGACGCGACTGCAATCGTCATTATCGTTACCTTAAACGTCCTTTCCTATTCCGTATATTAACGAACGGAAGAGATAATGTCTCGCAGAATGTGGCATGTAAGACTTTATGGTAATAAGATGTGCTTGTGCGCAAACGGTGTTCCTATTGAAAATTGTGTGCTTACGCTTACGCAACTGATTGTGAGCTATACGTGAACAACGCGACGCGAATATGTACCTACTTGTTACAACCTGATATAACCATTATATATTTTCCGAATTACGTTACGATAACTCAATAAATTGTGTTACATCCCAAGTCAAATAAATCTGAATTTAATTGCAGCTTTATCTTGAATTATTGATAAATTCTGCCAAACAACTCGACAGTACAATCTTCGAATTGATGATAATTGTTATCTCAATATATATAATTATTATTATCTCAGTACAGGTAAAATATATAAAAAAGGACATGCACATATATACGTTAGATGTACATAGATTCAATGTTCTTTTTTATATATTTTATACTATCTTTATATTATCTATCTTTATATTATAATAATTGGAATAAATTTTTAAAATTAATTTTGCATATATATATAATATATGTGTTTTACACACACACACACACACACACACACAATATATGTGTAAAACTTAAGATATAAATATTATGTTAAAGTTTATTTAAAAATAATTCAAGAATATGAGATATTAATTTTCTTTCGTCTATCTTCTGAAATTTTTGCATTACCAACAGCCTTCTATTTTCAATTATTGATTATTTCTATATTTAAAAAAGAATTAATAGAAACCATAATTAAAAATATTGGAGATAAAGTAATAACGCTCTTGTTTTTCATATTATATGTTTTATCTGTAACTTTTCTTCTATTTTCTACGAAGATAGTGGACTTAATTAATTTGATTATGGAATTGTTTCGAGTTATTTTACAAAATTCAGCAATCAATCTAAACAAAATACTAATTAAACTCTGACTTATCTAATTTGAATAATATGTATACTTATGTAATTAGTAATTGCATATATGTACGATATTATTAATAATTAATTAAAGAGAGTCAGTTAGGCTTATAATTCAGCAGTTATAATAACTGCTGATATTCTTTTTTAAATGATATTAAAGGATCTATTTACTTTTAAAGTAAAACAGTACAGAATTTAAACACTTCGTTTATATAAAAATTATACAATTATAATGTTATGCAATATATTAAGACAATTTTTTCATATGAAACTTCAAATCTCTTTAAATATTTTTTGAATTTTCTTCAAATTTTAGATCTTAGAAATATATTTTAAAATATTTCAATAAATCGATGCAATTACAAACATTTCAGAATTAAACAGAGACTGTTTGTCGTAGTTAAAAAGATGAGGAACAAAAAAGAAAACAAAAAATTGAAAAACATACTTTTTTTTCAGGTAGTATGAATATGAGAAAAAAAATGTATGTATTTAACTAATTGCTAATTAAGTTAATTAAGCTAATTAGCTAAGTATGAAAAATCCAAATGCAAAATTAACAGATTTTTTTCAAAACTATATTTTGTATGGAGAATAAAAAAACATCTTTATTTTTTTATTTCAAATAATTATTCAAAACGTAATTACGAGCACCATCACAAAAGATTTGTCGCGTTCCGGACATTACTTATATCATTATATCTTGAATATAGCCTATACTAAATAAAGAATTCTGAAATATTGTTCAAACTTAACACAGCAAATGAGAAATGTTAGCAACGCAGAACTTATTTTTTTAAAAGAAGAAGTGCCTATTGTTTATTGCTTAGATGAGAATAGCCCTCTTAAATATCTATTATCTGCTTGTATACATTTTATTATATATACATAGAGAAATAAATTAATTGTAACCAATTAACTGCTCGTAGAAAGTTCAATTTTATATTCATTTTATTTCGCATTCAGAATAAAGTTCTTATTAGATTAGACTTACATTACAATAATTGTATTACGTTTGCGATACATATATACGAGTACATTATAAGCATGTGCATGATGATGTAAGAGAACGGAAGCAATCGCGAGATAGTAAGCGCAGGCAGTAAAAATCTCGGCTCACTAGAGGAAGGCTCCGCTCCTTATCGCAATATTGCATGTCGAGCACTAAATTATATAATGTCGCCGTTGGTAAACAGTGATTATCACTACATTCTGATGGAATGGTCAAAATTTTGTTGTATATAAAGTTCTAAGTTTTCTCGCGCGAAAAATGAAGATATTCTTAAAATTTTATTTAGAAATTTATTCAGCAAAGAGGAAATTTTATTTGTAATAAGCGTAATTTATATGAACGCTTATTGCGAAATCATATTTCTCTTACTGAAACGAATGAATTTAAAAAATGCAATAAAAATGTAGCCATGGTACTTGTAGTACCTTGCATTTTAAATTTGAGAAATACAAATAATTTGCGAATGCAAAATAGAATGAAAACGCAAATTATTACTCACTGCCATCCTGAGATGCGATTTAGTGGAAAACCTATTTCTACGGTAATGCTGAAATATCATATAACGTTAAATTAATTATATATTCAACTTTACATACAATAAAGTTGTCATTTACATCAAATTATGAAACGAACAAATTTTCGTTTCAAAACTTGTTTATGTTATATATTACCTGTATATTTTTACATTATAAAAAAGAGATTTGTAATTAATATACATTCCTATCAATATAAAAATATCTTTTACGCGGCAATAATAATAATTCTAAACTTATTAAATTGACATATGTATAATTAACATTATTAACGGTTGGTAAATGATTATATTTTTTTACAACCTTATTCTACAATCTTATAATTTAAGAATACATCAACTTTATAAACACATCGTTTTATGAGAAAAGTCAAATCGATAAAGTATTATACACGGATTGAGAAATATTTGTGCGTTTATTAAAATGCAAATGTATGTTGTTTGATTTTATCGCTTCTTTTATCAATTAATATATCTTTCATTCGGGCAGATTTCCACTAGATATTGTCGATTTCAGAATCGTCACACTCTACCATGGGCATTAATTAAGTAAAACGCATGATGTTATGAATTCTTATTATAATTACGTACCAATCTCAAGTTCTTTGATAGGACATTATTTTAAATTAATATTGTTTATTAAATCACCTGTTTCGATCAAAAAGAGACTTCAAATCAAATTTTAATTGTAAGCACGTGATGATTTTATTCCTTCCTTCTGATGATCTTTTTATCTTTTTTTACATTCAGTTGTAGCGTGGACTATTCTAGCACAAACTGTTCTACGTAACACGCGTGAATAGGATGTCTCATAATCTGATATATCGCATATATCACGACCAACAGTGTGTGGCATTATTACGAATCAATCATCACATACGACACGAAGTCGTAGGTACTACGCGACCTGGCGAATGTCGTGATCGTTTGCGCAAATGTATTTAACGATACTTATAGATCTGGCAATAAATATTTGTATGTGTGTAGAATCTATTATTTCAATGATATTTATTTTATCCAGAGATTTCTCACAAATTACTCACTCGCGTCCCGAAATATTTTTTTCTATTCGACGGCAATTTAAACATGACCTAAATAGCAGGATGTGTGTATTTGTGTGTGTGACGTCAAAAGATATGTGACGTTTATTTTAGTTTACTATTAAACGTCATAATTATGTCATCTCTTAATATCATTATGCTACTTGGATTTATAATTTATAAAGCTTTAAATTTTTAGCTTTTGAGTGCCAAAAGACGTTGCATAATAATTATCTACAGTCATTTGAAAATTTATAAATAAGAATATATAATAAATGCATAACGTAAATAAGAAATGTATGCAGAATATTTCAGAGCAGAATGTAATATTTTAAAATATAGTATACTTTGAAGATTAGGGTCGGAAATTCTAAAATAAAACATTACATAAAATATTAGATACGTGTAAATTATTTAATTTTTTTAAGTAGTATTTAATCTTTTTTTAGTAATTTATTAATTGTTCTGTTAAAAAAATTAAATTTAATGTTTATTATAATTTTTATTTCTTTATACTTAAAAAATATATTGTGTAACAAACTTTTTCCGTTTTGAAAAATAAGGTGTTTGGGGAACTCGCTGTATCTAGCTATATTCAGCATTGTTACATCACTCCATTTTTATCGTTTATTGGACATAAAACATGAATGGTGCAATAAAACTGGCAACGTTCACCTATATTTTCTTATTAAGTAATAAAACATAAAAAAATCGATTATTCAAACACCTTGTCTTTCTCTTCCGTGATTATTTCAAATAATTTCGAGAAACACGATCATATCAAGTCACGCGTAGTAATAGATTTTATTATATTATTTAATTATCAACTAATTAGAATATTTTTATTTAGGACGTTAATTATTTATACCAGTCGGAATTATTAGACAAGTTAGAATAATTCGAATATTAATTGTAATTATTGAACAATCAGACTCCGAGAATCTGCCAGACGTTCTTATTAGCACAAATCTGCCAGACGTTCTTATTAGCACAAATCGTCTGTGATCAGGATGTGCTCGTACCTAGGAAACCTAGACGAGCGGGAAACGCTATTTAGACGAGAGGTTCGGCGCGGGTGGAACGCTTTGGGCAGGAAGAACGCGTGGCGATTTGGTGCGGTGTTGGGGTAATGCGGTACGGCGGTGCATAACGTAAAAGTAAATTCGCGGCTGTCGGAACGAAACAGTTCGTGGCCGCAGGTGAGCGAGCGAACGACCCGGCTGCTCGCTCGAAAGAGTCGATGATTCGTGCGACGCGCGGACGTGGATACACATCCGTCCCGTACTCCTGATCCGTCCGACCGCAGACTTGTTTCGGCGTAGTGGATTTGCAATCTTGTAAGAGAGAGCATTTTGGCGGTAGGTCGAGAAGAAGCGGAAGGCACCGGTCTCGCAACGGACGCACGAGCGGTGAACGCGCGTTTCGTCGTGCGACGATGTGCTGCGCCGAACTTCGCGCTCCCACCGAGTCGATGATGAACCCAGAACGTCGAGGGATCGAGCCTGGTCGCCGCGTGTGATACCACGAAAGCAACTCACAGGGGTGAGTACTAATCGTGACCGGATACAAAGGGATGATGAACGTGATACATAAAATGAATTTAAAATCGCTGATATTCTACGTGCGACAAAAAGACGAGCGTCGATCGTGACGTTTTAGCAGTGCGGATGAATTTGAAACAAATACGTGAATAATAAGAATAATTTTCTGAAAACAATACAATAATTATTAAAGGTATATAAGAGTCAACAATAATTATAATTTAACAATAATTTTCTGTTTAATGTGACTCTGGTGAAAATAAAACCGAAGCGCAAGTTGAATAAGAGGAGAGTAACAGAAATGTAAACGAAGCTTAGGCGAAAATTGAAACAACGAAATATAAAAGGGACATTTACGCTTCTTTTATGTTTCGTTGTCTCAATTTCACCTCCTAGAAGCCTCATATACGCTTCTATATTACTCTTCCCTTATGTTCGACTTACGTCCGATTTTTATTTTCGCTACCCAGATAACGTCTTTATGACATGCATGTTATCTGAGTATAATAGGGGAACACGGGTATTTAAACGATTCGTTAAATAACTTTTTACGTATATCAGAGGCATTGATGAGCTCATTGAACATTAATTATTTATAACGAAAACGTTCAGAAAGTTGGATGACACACTTTGCGGTGTCCCTTCCCTCGCGAAGAAAAAGAGAGAGAGAGAGAGAGAGAGATCGTTCGTATATGTTTTGCGCATCATTATGCTTATGCAGGACAAACTTGTGCAGGAGAGGATCAATCGCTAAAATCGCTAGAGAAAGCATCATTCGCCTTTTATATAGGATTATAGGCTTTCTAATAAACTTTCGCATGCATTTGCTCACATGCCGCGACTACGGAGTGAAATGAGAAATTCGCAATGTTTCACGTGCGAAGGGATGAATAGGCTTCGTAAATAATAGGGAATTCGATTGGATGACACTCAGTATACATTGGTGCACATTAAAGCCATCGTACTCAAATTGACATAAAAATATGTGTGTGTGTTTAATATAAACATAAAAATGCATTAAACCATGAAATCTTCAATATATTTTATTGTGCTGTTTATGCTCATATTTTCCTAAATTATCTGAAATAAAAAACTAGAAAACGAATTTTATTGACTGTTATATATGATAAATTTCTATATACGTTTCTACACTCTTCTGTGAAAGGAATTTGAAACCATTATATTTAACTTTACATTAATTCAAACAGATTACTGAAAATATATGTGGAAACGAAGTCTATTGTGTTTAATTATTATTGTACTTGATACTTCACACATTCATTTTTCTCGAGAGATAAAATCAAAATCGCAGAATTCTCCTTTGGGAGTTTCGTAAACGTCGTTATTAGTCGACTCCGTTTGCGAGCGGGAACCTTGACCAAAGCGATATTTTTTCAGTTACGGTGCCTGACGATATCAAAGGTATAAAAACCGTTGATAGACCTCCGATACTTCCTCGTGCTGCAATCGCGCTCAGAAAATTTGTGATACTAATCCCTGTTATAGTCACATTTTTCAATGCATCTCTCTTCAAAGTATTTCAAATAACGCATGAAAATTCAACAGACATTTATGAGACGTTTAAAGAATGTCTTCAAAAATTTAAGACATTTAAAAAGCCTCTCTCAAAGATGTTTTAGATTTTTGAAGTTTTTAAAGTACATTCAGAAAATGTCCTGAATTTTTTAGACCTTTTTGAAAATTTAAGATATTTAAAAGTAATCTGAAATTTTTTCGATACATGTATATACATACACAGGATGCCTATCTTACTTCTACTTTCTTATGACGAAATATTTGATAAATGTGGATTCATAATCTTTTCTTGAAAATGAGAACATCGTTTACAGAAATTTTTGAATATTCTACGTCATATATTTTTATGATTAATTCCACAAATTAAATTTTGTAATATAAACTTTATTTGACGCTCTGAAGTTGGAAAGTCCTTCTTTTTCATTTATGCTTATAATTTAAGAATTATTGATGCTTGACAGTTTTGCTAAAAAATCACACATCTCTACACATATTTATATACATTTTTATCTTCTCAATTGTTTACATGACAACATGATTGTCGTTATTAGGAAATAATTGACTAACGGTTCTGAAAAATCGATTTGCGATCTCTGTCTTCGGAAATCGACAAAGCAAATAATCTCTTCTTATGAAGTTTCTAATAAATATAATATTTTAATATATATAATATTTTATAACATTTTAAATTGCTGTTAATCATGTCAAAAAATTACGTTATCTTGAATGAGGCATTATTGCTCGTTTTATAGTTAGTTAGTCACTAACAATGGTAATTTTTTTGGGTAGCGTCGGTAAATAGCTTCGCATTCTTCGAGCTTAAACTCGAAATTACGCTCGTCTGCCTGCTACAAAGGCGCTCAAGGATTCCCAGGTGAACCACTCATTTCCTCGACTAATGCGAGGCAATGATTCATCAACGATCCATTTAAAAACACGGACGGCTATTCGCCACATTCTTTTGTCACGCGCAGGACAGTTTGAGCAATGAATTGCAATTAATCCACGCGACAAGAGCGGTCTAGTGGTAAAAACTTCACATTTTTTTCTATGATGCACCTTTTGCGTTAAAAAATTTGTTAGAAATGTTTTCAACTTGATAAAGTTGTGTTTGAAGTATAAAAAAAATGAAAGAAAAAGCGATTCAATTTTTAAATATTGTAAATTATTAACTGTTATTATAATTTACACAATAAAAATATTATTACATCATATATCTTACATCATATATTTCTTTTTTAGACTTCAAACATAACTAACCACAGAAATGGATTGATTTACATTCGGACAAACATGAAAGTTAAAAGTAACAAAATGTTATTTAACTCAAAGGATTGGGTTATCTTTGCTCCTTTGACATCTAACAGTGTACAATGCTTAGTGTATTTACCCGACGTGTTCGGAATTCTATTGTAGTACACGATCAATTGTTTGCTACTAATATTTATAACTCAACTCTATACTATTATTGCTTGATACAAGTATATAACAAGTCTCTTATTCAACTCATAAGTATTCATAAGAATGCTACATAAAGACTACAAATCATTATAAAGTAAAATAGGATGTAAGTTTAGAATTTATAATCATACATGTTCATTATTATTTATAAGAAATTTAAGATTTTGAAACTTAAGTCTATTCACAGGCACCATTCTAAAATGTACAATGACTGAAATGTACAATGGCGAGTAAAATTATGCTTTTTACAGTGTCATATCTTATTCAAATATCTTTCATGATTGATTCTACACATATTTTAATCTCCTATAGGAGATCGCAGGATAAAATCTGAACAATTTATTAAATAAGAATATGTTAGATAACAAACAAATATTATATATATTAATTTTTTATACATACATTATAGATACATATGTAATAATTTTCTCATAATGAGATAGCGGTATTGATCACGATCATTATTTCATCATTATCAACATTAAATTTTCATGTTAATAATCATGTCCATAATTCTATTAATAATATAATAAAATAGCCAGCTAAACCTAGATAATAGTAATTTGAACTTAACCCAACCACAGCCATTAATCATTATAATGGCTCTACAAAGTATATATATAAAATAATAAAATTTACACATATGGTATTAATATATTATACATTCTCTATTAATTTGCGTCGGCTCAGAAAAAATCTCATGTGTACATTAAAAAGGATTAAATTTTAATAAATATTTATTTGAATATTTCTAAGTATAAATATTTACTAAATTTAAACATATATTTATTTGAAAAAATCATTAATTTGTGATTTAACTATAATTTTTTTATTGAGTAAATATTTATTTACTATAAGTTTACGTTTGCTTATTGTTAGTACTATTGTCCGTGTATTCCGTGTTTCTTACGCAGATATACATGAGATAATCATTGTAATAATTCTGACGTCAATTAAAATCTTATCAAGTTTGTACCACGGAAATGTGAATTTTTTTTTAATCATACGTTTCATTTATCACATCTTTGCATTTGTGTTACGTATCACAATTTTAAAATAACCATAAACAAATTAGCAACAATTCTACTTGTCTTTTTTTCTTTTACAAACGATATTATACTTGATATTGCATTTACATAATATAACATTATCTAATAAGATAAGCAATATAATGAGAACGGCGTTTATCCGATTCAACGAAGGCATGGCTAATCGGAGTATTTTTTAGTACGAAATTGATTATGTAAACGTCTTGCCAGGTCTCTAAGATTCCATTTCGCGTTTCCTCGGACAGACGTGATATTCCACGCGATATATCCTAGATTCTGAAAAACATTATTGCTTTCCGTACATGAAACTGCACTGGATGATGTTATATTATACACACGTAATTCGAATAATTTCCCGACACGCATGCCTTTTGACTTGTTATTGTATGTAGTATCAAATACTATTTTCCGGTATCGTGCTCTTCCGCTTTGTAATAAGCTCGATATGAACAAGCGGCGAGTCGTGAAATTAGAAATAGTTTTGATTTATTTCGCACAACAACTTTTATTTGTATCATTCCGGATATTGTATAGACGTATCGATTACATATATTGACATTATCTATAATAAAATATCAGAATGTTATCCTAGGTTAGCTATAGCTGGCAAAATCACGTCCGTAAGCGAAATTTTGTCGTAAAATTGCATTTGGCAACGAATTTTTACACAGAATTTTGCTAAAAAATTAAAAATTGTGCTGGATACAGATCTGAAAATAATTTTGTTCAAAACTCAAATTGATCGCTAGAATATCAAAATTTTTTGCTGTATTATTATCAAAATAATGATGTTGGAAACTAAAATAATGATGAGTAATTCTGCAAAAAATATTGATTTTCTAGCAATTAATTTAAGTTTCTAAAAAAATTATTTTTAAATCTCTATTCAGCAAAATTTTAAATATTTTAGCAAAATCGTTCTTTCTATATGAGAATTCGTTGCCGAATGCAATTTTCCGACAAAATTCTACTTATGAAATGATGTGATCTTGCCAGCTGTAGCTGACAGAATAACATTCTGATATCTTATTGCAACTAATTTGAGTTTCTAACAAAATTATTTTTAGGTCTATATCCAGCAAAACTTTAGATCTTTTATTATACCAAAATATATTCTTTTAGCAAATTATTTTTTCTGTATCATAACTGTTAATCTTCATGATCGCAACTTTTATTGAAGCCTTTCTTTATAAATGATAAATCGCGTGCCACGTATAGCCGCGTGTGTTTTACAATTATTCGAAATGAACTGAGCGTGACGATAAGCTTTTATGTATAATCGCGTCATCAATACAAAACACGAATACACATTACTCAATTACAGACTATTTACAATATTTTTAAAATACACGCCGATTATTTCGTTCGATAGCTATTAGGAAACGAAAATATCAATGAAAACAGTATATTTTAAACAACTTTGTAAATTTATTCAATGTTTCTTTCACAATTTCCTCCTTGTTTTTAAGTTTTAGCATGTACCGTGTACTTTATTCATTGATTATACTTATACATCATCTATTAATCTACGTTATAGAATTCTTTAGAAAAGTTTTGTGTGCTTCGATAATTACTCTATTTGCACAAAATAGCATTCTTTTTAACGATTATTCTTAACTCGTGCCACACATATTTGTATTATTTTTAGAGCGATCAACTCTATTATTTTACGAGTTTTCGCAAAGCCATTTGCGAAATTTCGTCAGTTATCGTCGCATTCATCATTTATTATGGCTACTTTTTTGCAGTTTATTTTAAAAATCTGCGTTTAAACAATGCAACAGCTACACAAATGCCTATATTTACGTGAAAGAAAAAGAACACGATAAATTGTCAGATCGTTATTCTTCACCCTCTGCAATTACTATAGAAGCTTCATTAACAAACAATTCCCTGTATTTTCCAATTCATTGAAATTGGATATCAATTCATTTTCTAATCAGTCCATTATATTATTGAAAGAAGCGATCAAACTTTTTATTTATCACTGAAAGTATTATATATCTTAAACTAAAAAAACATTTATGTGCCGAAGCACGATAAAGCAAAGCAACATCATATATCTGTAAATATTTATATTAGAAAAAATTAGTTTTAATTAATTAGATTTATTTAATAATCAAAAATAAAATTTAATTACTTAATATAGAATTCCTTAATTACGTGAAATTAGTTGTTTACGATAATTTAATGACATGAAAAATTATTCAATTTAAAAAAATCGTAAATGAATTGCGTAAAATATTATCTTCAATTTTTCGTTAAAAGCTTCGCGTCTCGCAGTAGCGAAGAAATCCTACCGTTTAAAAATGAATCATCTGAGCGCGGAACATAAGTGAGAGGGTACTTGATGTATATAAAATTAAAAATAGATGAATTGAGATTATCGCAAAGATTATCAACGAACACGAGAGATCTAAGGCTAAGGCGATAGGTGAAAAATTAACGGGATCATTACACGTAATATAAATCAATCCGTTCATTTTTCCTTCAAGGTCGCTGTGCAAACGAGCTTCTGACAGGATGAAGTCTACCTGAGGAGGAGACTTTACATCGGTCTGCGCGTTTATATATCGGTTCACACGTTCCATCCGAATTGCGCACTTTGTCTGTCACGTCGATCTCTCATCGAAGATTACATTATGTCCAAGTACAACATCAACGAGGAATACGACATGGAGAACCGTAGAGAGGTCACGCTGACCGGTTTCAGCAGTAACGCGATCGACGATGTTCTTCGTAGTAACAACAACGAGCCCAATACGTTGAACGGCAATCCAAGCAGCGCTCATGCCATCACCAAAGACGCGAAGATTGTTAATCTCGAAGGTGAGCCGCTATTATTTTGTATTATTGCATCTTATTAATTAGGATGTATATCTTTCTGGTACATTCTGAAAGAATTTTATATCTTGTAAGAATATTTAAAAAATAAAATTCCATGTTGAAATGTTAAATTGAAAGATGAGACGATCGGTCTCTTCGTATTTTTGCTCAGAGTAGACGAGAGACATGGTGTAGTAATATTCTATGCTCACTTTTATTTATAATTATAAACTGAGGAACATATGAACTCATCAATGCACGAATATACGTCGGTGCAGTGTGTTCAATGTATACAATAGTCACAATAGTGGACGAGAAAATAATTGGCGTGTGATTCAATGCGCGATATCAATCACGTCGCGCGCGCGACGGAGATGCAGGACGGCGCGGAAACATCGAACAAAAATTTGCAAAAATATGTGCACCGTATACCGACCTTCACTTTCACGGTTGAACAGTCGTTTTTTTAAATAGCGTTTTATAATATTCGCAATCGCGCGAAAAATTGTTTCAAGGCACGTTGCCTTCGTTCGCATCGCGCATGTGCATTTATGCACGCATATAGCGTTATGATTCTCTCGTTGCAAATTATTCTTTTTTCTCAAATAGAAACATCTCTCAACATTTTCATTTTTATGACAATTACGAAATTATAGTATAGTACAGATTATTATAAATTACTTACAATAAACTCTATAAACTACTACAAATTTTTCTTACTGCACAAAAGCCGAATGCATTTAATGCCAATTGCAGTTTGACAAATACAATTGCAATTGAGAAATACTTAGATCTAATTAATTTATAATAAGAGATTACTCCCTTAAGAAAAAGACATATACATGGATAGTTTTGCTAAAGTATTTAAAAATTTATAGCTATAGATCTGAGAATAATTTTCTTGGATCATTAAAATAATTATTTAAGTCCGGTATTCATAGTTGGATTTTATATTTCAAACCGTCTTAAGTACAGTTTTAAGGTGCCATAAGCCAATAAAGAGCAGTATTAGTATCTTTACGTTACTTAAGACTTGAAATAAGAACTAACTCTGAATACCGATCTAAAATGTTTAAGCATAATAATACTGTTGCAAAAAGTTCTGACATTCTAACAACCAACTTGAGTGTTCTATATAATTATTTTGTTGTTCTAACATTGGAAAAAGAGTCTAGTTGTATTAATTGAAATTTCGTTTGAAAATGGACAAATCAGAATTTTCTGGTTGAATCTAAAATGATTTTAGTTGATGTAAAGAATTCTGATTGTGATATGATCAGAATCTTTTGGTTCGTTCATTTTTAATTAGAAATTTTTCTCATTAAATAAAAATATTTTTAAATTTGTTTCTAGTTAAATTTTTCAATACTTCAGCAAAACCGTCCTTTCGATGTACGCAAGAGAATAGAACACTGCATGTATAGGAATTTACCCAAGTATTTACACTCCTTGCATGTTATCGCTCATAATTTCAGTGTCAGCACACAATGATTAATGCGCAAAAAGACAAATATTTCAAAACATAACCATTTTACAAGAAGTAACGTTCGTTTTGTAGTAATATCTGCAAATGTAATAATTGGCATTGTTACATCAACTGCTTTCAAAGCTTAAGTATTTCGATCAACGCACAAAAACATTTTGCTTTTACGACATCTCAACTGCGAACATATCGTGCTCTAAATAAACTATTATCTTCTATTCTCTCTCGCACAGGTCGCTATCGACGCTAGTATTTACCTCACAAGAGTCACAAGTACCTCGTCCATGTGATCGTTCGAGATAATATTCAAACCACAAAAAATCCACTGATACCGATATTACCCGCGAGCAGTCGAAGGTGTAAAATGCAAAACAGCTCGTCTGTCCACTTTCTGATAGTCTCATAATAACAGAAAAGATAATAATAATAGACTTTAATTAAATTTGAATACACAAAAATCGAATATGCTACAAAATTTAATTCTGCCATCGTTACGCTTCGGTTAATGTTAATAAGCAGAATCTATATGTAGATAATGAAATGCAGCCTCATCGAATATACAACGAGCTGCAATTGAATTGCGCATGGACGCAATCTGTCGTCCGATTCTAATTTTGATTAAAAAGCATTAATTAATTATTATAATGATATAATGTACTGCTGCGCGGATACTCTTTGTAGATTCGCCCTGTCCCGCTGTTCCCACACTCCATTAGATTTTACCGTTGAAATAGCATTTACATTTTGCGCGATATTTTCTGTTAATTGAAAATCAAATGTGCTGATGAACTGCTACACTTGTGTAAATTCTGAAGTATCGGCTATGATGCATAATCGATTGTAAGATTTAATTTATTCTCAGAGAAATATAAGAAATGTGGAAATTGGTATCTTTCGTTCAGATACAATATAGCAGTAGATGTCATAAACTTGGTATCCTTGAACCTTGTGTGCGTTATGATTTTTCAAGATACAATCTGAATAAAATATGGTTTGTTTTATATTTTGATCGTATTAATTATGTTTACTTTGTCTAATTTTTGTTTCTCATTATATATATTTTTTTATATTGAGAAAAATATTTGAAATGTGAAAAAATATTTATATAATGACTTTAACAAAAGTTTAAAATTTTTGTAAGTCGTAATTTGTTTAATGGCTTTAGTAAGTTTTATTTTTTTAAATAGAATGAGAGCTATCTATTTTATTATAGTTTTGTAAAATATTTCATAACAAAAACATTAAAAAATATATATATATGTATCGCTTAATCACTTAATTTTACTTATAAACTTCTGCAAAAAAATTTTGACTTCTTTGTGCGCGATAAATCTTTATAAATATTTCTTTACTATTAATATACACGTTCTTTAGATCGTTTTGTATATATTATATTATCATAATTTTTATTAGAAACAAATATTTATATAAGTGGCTAAATTTGTTTGATCCTTTATATGAATTATTACATCAACGAGATTGACTTCTTTACTTTTAGTACCACAAAATTCTAACACGAGTGCTCTATGCACTTCCGGAAGAAGGTGGCTCTATCGACGAGTTAGAAGGTCTTGCAGGCGAAAGCTGCTATTCAAGAGAATACCCATCCTAACGTGGTTGCCAAATTACCAGAAGGAATATGTAGTGAGCGATCTAGTAGCTGGTATCACCGTAGGTCTCACCGTCATACCACAAGCCATAGCGTACGCTAACGTCGCGGGATTACCGTTACAGGTAAATACAAAATAATATTAAATAAAAAATATTAAGTGAAATATTTTACAATTTTACAATTTAAATGTATTATTCCTGCAAAAACAATGATATTAGAAAATTAAAGCAAAAATAAAACAGTTCTATTATAAAATTTAATTCTTTCATTATATACTTCGTTTTGATATTAAAAATGTTATATTCAATAAAATATAATATAATTATTTATTGTACATAAATTTTACGTGTGTGTGTATTCTTTTATTTTAAAAAAATTTCAAAGCATGATAAGATCACGCATATATTATACTACGTATAATGAAAGTAAATTTATTAATTAAAAGTAAAAATCATTTCAAAGAACTTACCTGTGTCACTCAAGAGTAATGTTTTAATTATAATAAAAAAGTTTATTATTAGCTACAATAAAATATATGTATATATAAATACCGAAACTTATAACTAGTACGGTGTGAGACACCACACCACATGACTCTTGACATGACTCAGAGACACACGTGTCTCTTGATAAAAACTAAAACATTCACCAATTTAAATGCTTTTATCAACGTTCAGTATCATACAATACTATAAATACACTTGTACGTAACGGCGCTACACAAAATTTAGTCGTTACGATGGTCTTTTTTTATTCACTTTTTCAGAAGAATACACAATATCAATTTATAAATATCTAAAGTATACATTGACTGAATCCGATGTTTATCTATATAAAAGAAATTGACCCTGTATTAGATTTGTCATATATTGGGTGGACTATATTTTATGTTTTATCTCAAATATTTCTTTCTTCCTTTTATTTCTTATTTTAGAAAAATATTTCAAAATAGTTTCACGGTTTTATGAGAAAATATGATTCACATACGCGCGCGCGCGCGCACACACACACACATTCAACAAAATTTTTATAGCATACAATTTTTAAGAAATATTATCAATATTATTAATATTAAAAGATACTTTATTTGAACAGTATGGACTCTATTCGTCTTTCATGGCCTGTTTTGTGTACACAATTTTCGGGTCTTGGAAAGACGTGCCTGTCGGACCAACCGCAATCGCCGCGATTCTAACGAGAGAAACTTTACAAAAGGCTCATCTAGGACCTGATTTTGCTATTTTATTATGTTTCATCTCAGGCTGCGTCTCCTTATTAATGGGCATTTTGCAATTAGGTAATATTATAAGACATAAAGATTATAAAGAATAAAATTGATCTAATTTAAAATTATCGCATTTATGATTATTTTTATTTACTGGATTTTATATCGGGGCCAGTATCCGTTGGTTTCACATCGGCAGCGTCGATTATCATCGCCACCAGCCAAGTAAAAGATATTCTTGGGCTGAAAGTTACCGGTACCAAGTTTGTACAGGTCTGGCAAAGTATCTTCGAGCATATTGGTGAGACAAGGCGTTGGGATACCACTTTGGGAATTGTTTGCATAATCGTTCTTCTACTTCTCCGAGTAAGTGCAACACTACTGCATTTCATTATAATTTAGCTCTTGTTTTGATACTTAAACAATCAATTTCAGATATGGCACATATCTCAATCGATTGTTCATAGTCTACAGATTTGAAATTATAAGTTGAAATTAAGTACAGTTTAAAGTGTGATTCCGATAATTTTGTTTTTAGAATTTAAAAAAACGATTAGTTTTACAAAAAATTGAAATTGAAAGTGTTGTATTTTTCTATTTATTTCATTTTATAAAATTATATTTTTTTACAAAATGATTAGGATGGATAAATTTTTCAATCAATTAATCATAAATTAAATAATTTTTATTTTTTTAAAAGTTTATATATATGCATATGCCAAAATATGAAACGTGATAATATTCATTACTTCGAAAATTCTTATTTGTCGCATATGGGAAGAGTTGTGTATCGGAATATTTTTTTCTTTTTAAAAATATGTAATATAAGAGAGGCTAAAGAATACAAGCAGATTTTTTCGTTTGTATAGAAAGTAAAGGATTTGCCGGTGGTGCCAAAAAATACTAAAGTACCATCGCGGTTTCAACAAGTTATCACGAAGTCGTTCTGGCTAATCTCTACTGCTAGAAACATCATTATAGTGATTCTCTGCGCTGTGATGTGTTGGCTTCTCGAAAAGCACCTAGGAGAATCGCCCGTTATTTTAACGGGCCATGTAAAGCAAGGACTACCGGAATTCCGGTTGCCACCTTTTGAAGCTCAGGTCGGAAATGAGACCTATACTTTCATCGACATGATTTCCGCTCTGGGCACTGGTTGTCTAGTCGTTCCCATGCTAAGTCTGCTAGAAACCATTTCTATCGCCAAAGTATTTTGTAAGTGCTCAGTTTATTAAAAATAACAATCTTCTCAATATTACAAATTAAATTAATGTTATTTTATCAACGATAATTAACTAAACGATGATTAAAAAATCTACTTAACTAAAAAATTTATTTAAAAAATAGAAATAAAGTTAGAATTAATATATAAAACCTGGTTGAAAATATTGATCTCAAAATGTCAAGTTAACTTCGATTTTTTAAATTAATTATGAGCAACAGATAAATCATGATATTCAATAAAATAAATTTGACAATATTAAGTTCATTTAAGAATAAATACATTACGAGTAAAGTATCCCTATTTTCTGGTTTTGAATAATTTTTTATTTAAAAAAATGATGTCTAAAAATATTAAATGTGTTTTCTATCTCCAAAATAATTGAATTGATGTTTCATTCATAGCCGAGGGTAAGTCTGTAGACGCCACTCAGGAAATGTTGGCGTTGGGTGCATGCAACGTGGTATCATCGTTTGTATCATCAATGCCTGTGAGCGGCGGCCTCAGTCGAGGCGCAGTCAACCACTCGTCCGGGGTGAAGACGACGCTTGGTGGAGTCTATACTGGACTATTAGTGCTTATATCGTTGCAGTTCCTCACACCCTATTTGTACTACATACCGAAGGCTGCCCTGGCAGCCGTCATAATTGCCGCGGTCGTCTTTATGGTGGAATTTCAGGTGGTGAAGCCAATGTGGCGAAGCAAAAGTACGCTTTCTCTTGTTTAACACCAAACACTACATTAATAACAGCAGAAATAAAAGAGTCAATTAGAACTTATAAACAATTACATTAATAATTAAATAAATACATAAAATGATTTAAAAAGAGAATGTTATGAATATTCTTTCAAAGAGAATTCAAAGTAATCGAGATTACATTTATTAATTACTTGTGCTATTGTACTTTATCACATATTAAATTATTAATGAATAATTAAAATAAGATTTTTAATGAATAATTAATTAAATTATTAATGAATAATTAATTTCACCGATAAATTTTAATCGACAATTAATTAAATCAATAAAATTACTTACAACAAAATTTCTATATAATTCATTATTTGTCATAAAATCTTTTTTTCTCTATACATTAAGCAATAAAAATTAATAATTTTATTCATACTAGCATAAATATTACTTGATAAAAATTGAACAAAGTTTAATTGAAGTCACCTTAATTAACTCTTCTACTTGCATAATTTTTATTTTATATAATTTTTTTATCTTTCTTAATAAGATTATGTTATAAACTGCACCGTCATTTTCAGAAATTGATCTCATACCGGCCATAACCACGTTCCTATGTTGTCTTTTCATACGACTTGAACTGGGCATTGTAATTGGCATCGGTATAAATCTTTTGTTCCTACTTTATGCCTCGGCCAGACCGACATTACGAGTTCATAAAGCTACGGTAAGTTTATAGCTCTGTATAATTAGCAAAAAACAAATAATAAAAAGTAAAAATGTTAATTAAAAAATGGCTGACAGAAATTTAAGGTGCATCTTTTACAACACAGTTGTAATTTAAAAAATATGTATTAACATTATCTTTTTTTCACTTATACAGAGTATCAGTGGTTGTGAATATCTTGTCATAACTCCGGACCGAAGTCTGGTGTTTCCAAGTGTCGAGTATGTACGAACAGTCATCAGCAAGCAGGGATTACGAGAGGGTACCGCAGTACCCGTTGTAATAGATTCTACGCATATCCAGGCTGCCGATTTCACTGCTGCAAAGGTGAATAAATATTATAGAAATAAAATTTACTTTCTACATGAATTAAACACCGACTTTCTTTTCTTTAGGGTATCAAAAGTTTAATAGAAGATTTTACTAAACGGAGCCAACCATTAATTTTTCATAACTTGAAACCGAGCATTATTGAAATCTTTAAAGGTGTAAAACCTTCAGGGCTCACGTGCAGCTCCAGCGAGCTCGAACTCAATGATCATCTTAAAGGTAAATCGATTTTTATAATGGATCTTCTCTATGTGAATACTTTATAAACATAACATTTTTATTTTAGAATATACGAATGTTTCAACCGAGACTCTCAATCGATATTAAATATATATTGTATATACATTTTATATACATACATTTATATATATATATATATACATATACATATATAGATGAAGATGTAGAGAATTTTCTACATTTTTTTCTTACTTAGCATCAGTATTATAATGAGAATACTATAGCGTTTTCGTTAAAGGCAGTATTATTGTAAAGCAAAAATGCTATCCTCGAATTTAGCTAATTAACTATTTTGTATATATGTACGTATATATTTATGAGAACAAGCCATTATAAAATTAGCATGTATCTTGTAAATCTACGCGATATACACAATGTAATATTTTTGTACTTACGCGAAAGGCGGAAACCTATATATATTTCGATAAAAATATATCCTTTGAATTATTCTTACTCTTTTCTCCGAATTTATTTGAATTAGATAGATAGGCATACAGAGTAGTCAGTGTTATTGATAATACAATTCAGAAGTGTATGCAATTCTATATATATAAAAAAATAGATAGAAAATATAGGAAATTAAATTTTTTGTAATTATTCGTTTCAAAAGACACAACTTGGATAACACTTTATAACTTTTACTTCGACATTAATCTTGGTTCTCACGAAAGTCTTGACAATCACGCTCCGCCCATTCGTTCATTTTGCAACAAATATACTCAGGTTAATGCATTCAATACTCATTTGCATACTCTATCCGTTAAACAATCAATAATGAGCGGTGGCTACCTTTTTTCTTGAATCAACAATTTTTTATTTGTAACACTAATAATCCAATAAAGCCACCTCATTTTATATTAAAATAAATATGTATATTATGATCTACACTAACTTTACATACATTGTAAATAACTTGATTGTAAATATCAAAATTTATATCAAAATTTGCTCGTGTCACGAAAAATGTGCATTAAATAAACATAGACAAACAAAATATATACATTGTACATTCTAAAAAATCAGTTATGTATTTCAAAACATTATACAATTGTTAACATACGATATTAAAGATAAAATGTGTACAAAGTGATTTACAGAAAGGTTGCAACACTTTTTTTCGATGGGTTTTGGAATGCAGTCTGTTCACCAGAAAGATTGATTCTTATTTATCTTATAGATCTAAACATTATGTTCAACCGTTCTACGAGTAAGACTGAGTTCCGAAATTCATCGAAAGTGTTGCAACCTTTCTGTAATCCACTGTACATGTATATTTACATGGGCATAGCCAGGAAGAGACGTGCCCCCCAAATTTTGAATCAAAAAATTATAGTACAATATTTATAATATAATAAAATAATTTCAAAATTCAAATGCCCGTTATAAAAAGTGCTCTAACAATCTCATTAGCACAGCCTTGTTCCACGAGTACTATTGGCATTTAGCACTTTAAGGCAGGTTAAGACATGATTGAGATCAACAATGAGTGAAATCCGCTTAAACAGATTATTCCTAACGAGTATTCACAAGAAAATAATATTGGAAAAGAAAAAGGAAGATGAAGTTCTAGAAAAGTTTTGCAAGAACGATAATATTCTAAATGTAAGTTGCGAAAATCAGTTTACAATGTTGGGGGAAAAAAGACTTAAGAAATAAAAATTATGTAGAACTTTTTATTTGTTCGTTGGCACATGGTGACGATGTCCTTCTCTAAAATATTTAGCCCCTTTTCCTAATAAAATCCTGGCTACGTCCATGTAAATTTACAATACCATATTTAAGAAATTAATATCAATACTAACTGATTTCTCGAGCACCTCCGGACGGAGTCGCTATGTAAAATGTAGGCGTGCCGGAATATCTACAAACAAAAATATTTTAACAGCATTTACATAAAGAAACCAAAACTTAATTTAATACAGACGAAAAAGACATTAACTTCGCTTTCATATATTGGATCGTTTTGTCAACCGCATCCTTTCTCAACAAAGTTACGGTGCAACCACCGAAGCCTGCGCCTGTCAAACGGCTTCCTAATACACCGTCTACTTCCCTAGCCGCCGAGACCAGCGAATCGAGTTCCTTAGACGAGACTTCGTAATCGTCGCGCAATGAATCGTGACTTTCATTCATTAAGCGTCCAAATTGCTGAAAGTCGCTTTTCTCAAGTGCCACCGCAGCGTCCAGAGTTCGTTGAATTTCTGTGACCACGTGACGAGCTCTTTTCACAATGGACTCGGATGCATTTTGCGATATTAACGCTAAAAACACGTTAGTCTATTATATACAAAATGTAATTGGTTTAAAATAAAATAAAATGAGATAAAATAAAAAAATAAAATCAAGAATATTATAATATATTAAAGAATACAAACATAACATTTAAAATTCTCTACTGTTACCTAAAATATCATTCATATTTGCATCTCTCAAACTCTTCTTGCCCAAGATTTTCGCGGCTTCGTAACAACAATCTCTACGCTCGCAATAGGCGCTTGAACTCAATTTGTGCGGTGTGTTCGAATTCGTTATGAGAAAAACATAATTATCTAGATGCAGCATAGGTATTTGTTTAGTAATAAGATCGCGACAGTCAAGTAAAAGAGCGCAGCCTTCTTTGCTCATAGTTGAGATAAACTGGTCCATTATACCGCATGGCACCCCAGCGAAATCATGCTCTGCTTTTTGACACGCTAAAGCCTATGTATAATATGTATATACATAATATATTTTATATTAATTAACATATCCTTTATTTGGGATTAATTAAAAATTGTATAAAATATAAGTAACTATTCATTTATATAGCGGCTATATAGATAAATGAAAGAATGAATGAATACGGATAAAAATTTCAGAATATAAAAAAATCTCTTCAAAATTTCGTTGCCTCCAAAAGATTTTCACAAAGAAACTAATCAAATCTTAGAAAATGAATCTTGAAAATTCGTTTTTGTACATATATCGCATGGTTATCATTATTTTTCACAATTAATCGTTGGAATAGTATAAATATTCTAATAGCTAATCAATTATCTGCCAATTTGGCTATTAATATCGATGGATAAATATTTTATTTCAATAAATTTTAATGTATCTTTATGTTATGCTGTTCAGCTTAAAATGACATTATCAGCAATTGTTAGTTCTCTAAAAAATTGTATATACGTATATACACACATAAGTGTATACATTACCTAATACCACATTATGTTATTATGTTACTACTGTTAGAAAAAAGCTGTATGATCGTTAGAACATAGTTACCTTCAGTTCTGGTTTCTCCGGTTTTTTCCCACTCAAGGTCTCCAAGAAAGTGTAAGTCGCTACCTCTAGAGCTGCAGAACTGCTAAGGCCGGCGCCTGCTGGTACAGTCGATACAATTACAGCATTGAACGCGGAGACGTCACCTAAAATAATAATGTATTAGTCGGTTTGCGTTGTATAAAGTATCCTACAGCTAATAGCATATGATTTACATTTAACTTTCTTGGCATTTCTTAAACGTTTCTTAAGGATTTAATTAATTTCGAGCTTCTAAATAAATTACGTGTAACGATCAAAATTACGAATAACTTACAAATAAAATTGGCAATGCATCCTTTTATGTAGTTCGCCCATTTTGGCTCTCCCGGTTTTATATCAGCTCGACTCTCAGCTTCGAATTCGAACTCGTTTATATCGCCGACCACGTCACTCAAGGAAAGAATTCTGGTTTTTTTACCATTGTGAGATTTTCCAACTATCACCGTGATCATTGGCAGTGCCTGATAATTATTTTAAAATTATTAAATACTTCTTTAATAACAAATTATTGTTTTGCCGTTAAATGGCAGTGTAAAGTCTGATCAACTATTCTAAATCTGCATTTGATAATTTGTATATAAATGAATTATAAAAATAACTACTATACCGTTTTTTTATTAAATACAAGTAACAAGGATCTCTGAAGCTACAGTGTATTCGTTATCAATAGGACATTTATTAAACAGGACAAAAGAAAAAACTCTGAGAAAACTTTTTCAATTAATAAGAAAAAATGCAACGATGTGACGACTTTCACGAATCGCGGATAATCAATAACGCGTATATTATCGCGTTATAATATTATTTTATTGCAGCGTTTTATTGATTCAACGTGATGCATTTCAGTAACGTTTAAATTACGTCAAAGTGGCACGGAGAACAAACATTTAACAAATAATAGTGAATTTGCTCACTTGTATGCTGATCTGCATGCTGAAGGCTTTTGCAAATAAATATATTATTTTGTTGCAAAAATATAATACAAATATCTTGACCGATAAAGTATAATAGTAAATGTTAATATTAAATTTATTATTTTTAACTAAACTTCTTGCATGGTTCATTTTTTTTCTTTTTCTTTTCATTTGGAGAAAAAAAGAAAAAAGGTGAATTCTGTACAAGAAGCTCAGTTAAAAGGAACAGACCTATTGTCATATGCACGCATGCCCACACATACTTACATACGTAAAATTTATTTTAGCGAAAGATATATATTGGATATCTTATCGATGCTTATATTATCTATATTTTTGCAGTTTTATTTTGTAGCAATTTTTAAAGCGCACCACAGTAATACAAGCAATTAAATTTACTACAATTTCATTTGTATCCTTTAGTTATATAACAAACAGTTCAGCGCGCTGAGAAAAACACAACGATGTCACATGGTTTTAACATTTCGTTGGCGTAAGCTACAATTCTGTGTGTGATAACACAATGACGTAATAATTAATAATGATAATATTACAATCCACGCATAATCGTGATTTTCATAAATTTAATTACAATTCGAAATTAAAATCAATTTTGGTTTATATTTAAATTTAAATGCGTTCCTCATTTTATGCACTTAAAATATTTAATATTTTGGGAGGAAGGAAAGAGTAGAGAACGAGAGAATAAAGAAAGAACAAAAGAGAAATAGGGATAATATATAAAGAAAAAAATAAAGAAAAAAAAAATAAAAGCGCGACAGAGACTGATTTCGTTTCGAAGTAAAAGCTTTTTCTATTATTTTCTCTATTCTTTTTCTATTCTTTCTCTATACTTTTTGTGCGCTTTCTAAGCTCTATTTAGAACAAAATAAAATACGTGCGATTTAAGAGCGAACAAAAGGGAACGTGTGAAGAAACGTGAATGTTTTGTGTGCGATGCAAAAGATTTACCAAGATTTACCATCGGCAGTACAAAACCGTCGTTATAGTCGGTGTGCTCGCCGATGAGATTAACACGTCCTGGTGCGTACACGCAAACAGCGGCCTGCTCGCCGAATTTCTCGGCAAAGGTCTGCAACGCCTTTTCTTTAACGCTATTTACGTGCGGAAGTAGTGTAGCCATGCCAAAATCTCTTCTGAACTTCACTTGATACAATTGACGAAACAAAATCTACGACAGAAATGGAGATTAAGCGACGTGATGAACAACCACTGCAGCCAACAGTTGCGAAGATACTGATGCTAATATAAACCTCCTTACAGTGATTAGGGGACTGGTACGACGTTGTTTGTTATCAGCACAATCTTCGGCTAATTGTAAATGCTTCAACGTAGAAACTTAAATACACCACGGTGCTCTATACCTGCAAGTGACATTATAAAATATTATTATACAACCCTTGTTACACAACGTCCTTGAAACGGTTTTTAGCACATGTGTTGTCTGCAACGGAAGATATAAATTATAATAAAATAATAATACATAAAAAATAAAAAAATATATATAAATTATATCACAAAATTATTTTGATAAATATATATTGTGTTTTAAAATATTATTTTTATTTATAAGGCACTTGTTACATATTCCTCATAAGCATCGTTATATGAGCTATAAGATTAAATGTTAAAGAACAAACGATAGATCAAATACATATGTATTGTCGACAGAAATACACAGGCGCAAACAATATTATTCGCAAAAGTGTAAGCGGGGCGTTTATTGGAAATATCAATTCATATTATGCTCGTACGCGTAAGTATAAAAAAAAAGCACAACAAAAATATTAATAATTAATGAATTATTTGTACAAAGCAATAATTTATTTTATTAAATTAAGTATTAATTAATTATAACAAATAATTAAATTATTATAAATAATATTAAATTCACGTTATATCAATACAAAAAAAATATTACATATGTGCATATATATGTGTATTAAAAACATTATAAATGAATCTAACGTAAAGTTATATGCAGATCGTTCAAAATAGGCTTATAAATAATCGGTCTTTAACTTGCGCGAGAATAGTTACTTAAGGAGATTTTTACATCCTAGCTGCGAAAAATTAAGCTAAGTCACAGTAATTTTCTTTATTGATAGCGCGAATTCATTTTTATTTTTCTCTTTTGAGTAAATCCATTATATATAATAATCTCAAATATTATAATAAATTGTAGAACAAACAATAATGTATAATTATAATTATATATAATGACAAGTGATATATAATTATAATGATTATTTTTAATTGGGGGGGGGTCATCAAAAATCACTCTATTGATTGTTTAGACGATAAAATTAAGTAACGTATTATATTATTCCTGAATTAATAATAAATAAAATAACCTCAAGTGTTGTTAGGTTGTTATTAAGTGACATTTGATTTCAAAGGAGCGCAATCCAGTTACGCGACTTTACTACCACTACCACCATCCCTATCGTAGCTGATACGTCGCCACACGTTCACAATGCAGGATGCAGGTGTTCTCGTTGTTGAGGCTTGGTTGACGCGTGTGTCGCGGCAATAAAACCAATTTTCTGCGAGAGACGTACAACGTACTACTGATGGACGCGCCGCGGTCGATTTAACGCCAATATTTCGCGGAGAATGTGCCATGTCGGTCTCGGATCCTCTCATCAAAGAGCTGAAAGGTAATTTCGTGATCGCTCGTGATTGAGCAGGTCAGGTTAGATGGGTCGTTAAACGTTATACCAGGGGATTTATGATTCTCTTATCATGATTCATACAATTTTTCTTTAAATTATCAGGCTATGCAATGTCAGTTTCTAGTTATTGCAGTCTTACTTTACTTTTGGATAAAGCTATTGAATTTTAAATGTGATATTATTTTAATTAACAGCTATAATATGTCATAGTGTTTGATGTTTTGATAGGATATAGACATGTTACAATATATGTGTGTGATGAATGAGAAATGTGTTAATTTTAAAAATATTTCTTAAATTAATTTAAAAATTTTGAATATTAATCTCATATCAATTTAATTTTTGTATGAACATTGTAAATGGCAAGAATCATTATCATATATGCTGATAATGTCAAGTCATATTTTTATAATATATTTTCTAATTGTAAGAATCAAATAAAATGTCTTTCTTTTTTGCCAACATTTTTGAAAATATATATTTCTTCATTATCTTGCAAATCTTATTGATTCTTTTACTATGTGAAATTTATCTTAACAAAATAAATGTATGTGAGCTTGTAGAATAATTTTACATATCTTTTTTCAGGATGGACTCGAAAGCTGATAGAACACGCTAAGGAAATCACAGATGAGAATGAAGATCTATGTTATTTTTGTAAATGCTTAGAAAACTGCTTACAGAAAGATTTACTGCCTATTTTCGATAGTGTTGGATATTGCAAGGTACCGTATGCATGGCACTGGTTAGAATATGTCGCCAGAAAGAATTATAGGTAAAGTGATTCTCTTATTCTTTCATTAATATCCATGATTTTATATATTATCTGTGACTTAATGTTAATGTGATTTTTAGTGGTTACAATACATTCCTTTTGGCAATTGAGCAAGTGAAACAAAACGCAAAGGTGCATACATCTGCTGGACGACTTCGTCTCCTGATAAGAATATGTTTGGTGCGAAGATGCCTTCATATGCCAGTAGAAATATTGGTGAGACGAATGAATTTATGTCAATCTTTAAAATATGTATGTCTATTAGTTAATTAGAAATTTATAATTATATCTTTAGGCCAGAATACCAGCTCTAGCTACCGAGTTTTACAACTTAAAAAGCATTTTGGGAGATGACATTTTACGGGAGATACTATTGTCTGTACTACTGCAATGCAGTAAGTTTAATTTTAAATTGAATTTAAGAAATGCAGCTTTCTTGGATGACACCTGGCAGATGCCGAAATGTGTAGCTTTGGAGTTGGTACCTTGCAAAAGTTTAGGCATCTCTGTATGGTAAGTATTTGTTAAGACAGAAGAAAGTAGGAACTATATGAATTTTATTTGTTGCTGTTGCAGTTTTACCAACGAGAAAGCATTAGTCGTCAATGTCAATGAGAAATCGGTGGCTGCTGAAGATGTAAGAAATAGATCTCTGAGTATCTGATATAACTTTTTAAAATTATAAATGCTTTAAATTTAGTGTTATTTACATGCTATCATGTAAATCAGAATAAAGTCGAGGTTGGAGATGTACTGGACGAGATAAACGAGAATGTCATCAATGGCGATAGCAAAGGAAAACTACGTAAAATTATGAAGAAAGCTAGTGGACAACCGATAATGCTACATATCATTAAGGTATTTTGCATTTTAAATGGTGATTAAAGGAACATATATGCTGATATAATGATTACTGTGTATTTTTAGCATTCTACCAAAAAATGCTGTGAGCTTTATGAACCAATAGTACAGCTTATAAAAAATTCAGGAATTGAGAGCATGAAACCCTTAATACAGATATCACAATTAGACCAAGTGGAAGAAACCACTAAAAAAAGTCAGAGCTCTAAATTAGGAAGTAAAACATTAAGCAGCGGATTCTCCGTGAAATATTGCGGTTCTGTACATGTTGGTACAGAGGGAGATGTTAAACAAATTGAGAAAGCTATTTGGCGTTTATTGAAGTCAGGAGAAGAAAAACAAGTGCCTGTGCGATTTGAATGCTTAGAAATTGGAATTGCAGTAACTCGCGAAGTAGACAATCAGGTAAGTTAATTAATCATATATAAAAAATTATTGAAAATTATAAATAACTTCTGTTTTAATTATTAAATTCAAGATAGTTCAGAAAGTGAATATTGTAATATGTGTGTGTTAAATATTTAAATTGAACAAAGTGACATTTTTATTTAGACAATATGTAAACAAAGTTATATGGAAATTTCGTCGTGCGGCCGTACCATCAATATTCCAGATTATTTTGCATTCATCGCAGGGTGAGCTTTATTAAATTAATGTCAGCATAATTAGATTGTATAATTTAAAATTATATACGCATAACTTATTGGTGTTATCTACTACTATTTTTAGAGAAACAAATTGTAACATGGCAACAAAATTTGACGCTTACATCTTCTATCATCAAAATGATGTTGAAGTCCAACAAATATTACAGAGTCTGGGACAAGGTTTTCAGCGTACTCATTTTGCAGTATAAACATACAAATTTTGCAATATACATAAATCTATATATAAATATATATATATATACATATAGATTTATTGAACTTTGTAGAAAAAGAAAATGTTACTACCTTTGTATCTTCCTAATATTATTTATTAATGTTTTTGTTCAAATCTGAGACCAAAAAACTCAATAAAATTATAAAAAGTTATTTTGTTAACTAAGTTACAAAAATTGGTAAAATCAAAAATCGATAAAATTAATAATTTTCTTGAGGCTTTACATTTTTTTTCATATTCGTTGTATTCTATCTTGTTATTAATCTTGTGTATGTAAAAAGTGCATTGAGTTATTTATATTATTTATTACTGTTAATAACGATCATATTCCTTTAATTTAATAGCCAAAAATTCGGAGATAAGTACTGTGAATGTATAAGTTCTACTTCTTTAAAATAAAATGTGATTTTAAAAATACACAATCAAATCGTTTTTTAATATTAACAGATAACATTAGATCTTTTTTACATTTAAATACATTTTTATTTTTCTTATACATGTATACATACCAGTGTGGTATCAATCATATATTTTAATTGCACAGTAGGAGCAGCATAGACAAATGATAGCCAATCGAATTGTGGATCGATTATTTATTGTCTAGATTAAACTAGTTAAATAGTACGTAACTGACAATCATAGTGCAGGAAGGTCTAGATGCGATTCAACTCGAAAATAACTACAGACATGAATGGTCCAGTTTCCACTGAAATCCGAAAAAGTGTGCTCTCGCGCATTTTGACCATAAAAAGCTACCATTGGTAGCTGGATTCACCTCACATTTGTATAACATCGAATTTTGACATTACGATTTAGCATAGTGTTTCTACACTAATTTAGCACGGATTCACACCACATCTATATTTTTAACGTAGCTACGTAGTATCCAATTCGAAAATAGATGTATTGGCGCTAGTGTACGAGGGGTTTCGAACGTCTGAAAAAAAAGGTCGGGATGACCCGATGGCCGCTCCATCAGATTTCTCCGATTTCTCTCTGGCGCTGGTGAGCGCCGGGCTCGGCCATCGACAGTTGCCGAAAATATCGAGGTAAGAGGTTCGAGAGACGAGAGTCAACGGGAATAAGGCAGGAACAGTGCCGTCGTCATCAGGCAGGGCACGAAAAATGGCTGCCGCGACGAACGTTGCACCGGAGAATCAGTACTTCTACGAGGATGTCGTCTACCGCATGGACAAACGGGGCAATGTCGTCTTCGGCATCGTCATGGAGAACGACGACCTGGACCTATCCGACGAGAGCAGTGACAATGAGGAGAACTTGCCGAAACGCAAGAAGGGCGAGATCCGCATGATCTGGCATCCGTCCGGTGTCGAGGAGTTGGTCAACTGCAAAAAGGTATCTTACGTGGTTTCTCTGGCGACGTGACTGGATCTCGCTGCAATCGAGCGATTGTACTGTCCCAATGCATTTCAATGTTTCTTCTGCATGGTTTTTTGATCTGTGCCTTTTGCACCTGTCATTTGACCTCTGTTTGCATTGGTTTGCATTAGGATTTTAAATTAATGACATTTAAGCAGTTTTGTATTCAGAGATTTTTATGTTTTACTTCTAGGTTCATTTGGCCGATAGGACACTTATGCCTGGAGATGTGGTACGTAGAATGATCAAAGGAAAGGATACACAAAGAGGTTACTGCCGGGACGTAGAACTGACGGCCTGTGTTCAGGTCATCGGTACCAAACAGGTTCTCACAGATATCAAGAGCGAAGACCTGATTCCATTGCAGGTATATCAATATCTCTATGATAGATGGTTATATATTATTTATATACTGAAACACACATAGCTGTTATTTGTAGGAATTTGCGACAGATATGGCAGTGTGTCTGGATTCTTGGGTTGGTGGCATTAGAATGACACACTTCAAGTTATGGCTGGTAACTCCAGATGGATCTCACTGTGTCATAAACGAGATGGATTCCTGTGTGTTGGGACAATTGGAAGAAGCTCGAGACAGCGTAAGATTGAACTACTTTATCATTCATATAGGATCCAAACAATAAGTATGTTTTAGGACAATGATTTTCCACACCCGACTGAATTCTATCCTGGTCAGAGCCTATGGGGACCGGTTCACTGCTTAGAGGATGCGCAGTGGCTTCAGTGCACAAAGGAGATGAAGGCAAAAAGGAAATTAAAACCACAAAAAATAACCAAAGTGATTGTGGAAAAAGTGGAGACTGATTGGATAGGTGTGCATTGGCAGTGCCGGGCATATTCAAAGGACGGTTGGTCCGATCAGGTTCAACCAAAGTTCGTGGTTGAGGGTGAAGACTTGAAAAAAATAAAATTGTTAAATGTATTTGAACCCTCAACAGTACAAGTCGGCAATCGTAACTTCTACATTATTAAGGGTAACGAAAATGTTATTACGCGTGAGCAATGGCGTAAGCAACAGAGGGATATTTATCAAGTTCCTAAGCAAAGTCCAAAGAAGACGCGTCCAAATATCACAGTGACGAAGCTGATGGAAGACAAGAAGAAGGAACAAAAAAAGGATAAAACATCCGATCAACCGACGGAAGAAAACGGTCAAAGTAATGGCATTCGTCCTCAGGACACCATAAGTAACAATGTTTTGATGCCGCCGCCTCAAAATCAACATGCTGAAAGTTCGGACGAGTGGGATACGGAAGATACAGGTTCACAAAGTGATTCTACTTCGGTAATATGTCTTTCATTCGTCTTCCGTTTTTTAAGAAAAGGAAAGTGAAGATATAGAAATGTGTGCGTTTTGTAGGTCTCTAGCTGTTGTTCCAGCATGTCATCAGCGGGAAAGAAAAAGAAGGGTCCTGCGTTAATGACGAAAGTGCTGAAGAAAAAGAAATTGCGAAAAGCGAAAAAGAAAATACCGCCTGTTCCATTGATTCCCGGGACTAAGATAGTCGTAGAAACGTTGTCTACTAATACGAAAGCGAATGTGGTGTGGCAAGACGGCTCAGTAGAATTTGGTATTGATTATTGATAATTTTATTTTAATTATCGCTTATTTTAAATACGTAAGAATGTATTCAAATTACGTTTTAACTTATAATTTGCGTACAATATCATTGATTTATATATTATTAAATCAAGTAATTTATATATTATTGATTTATATATTATTAAAAAATAAACAGTCTCAATTACTGAAAAAATCCTAGCGATACTAAACGTCATTTATTCTTTTTTAGGAATACCATCAACACAATTGTATCCAATTCATCACCTGGATGATAAGGAATTTTTTCCAGGTGATTTTGTTGTAGATCAAAAAGAAGAGTCTAGAATGTATGGCGTTGTACAAAGTGTTGATCATCAGGGTCGTACTGCCAAGATAAAATGGTTCCGTACATATACTTCTAGTCAAAACCCAGAGTAAGTATTGCACAAATACCTTCAATGTTTTTTTCATATGTTTTAGAACTTTACGATAGTTTTATTTATTCAAATTTTTGTATTAGAATTTATCGAATACGAAATATCAAGTACATTAATGAAGTACATTAAGAAAAATGTAAATAAATAAATAAGAGTTCTCTAGGTTTTTCTAAGTATTTGGAATTTATAATTTAACCATAATTTAAAATCATTACAAATAAAATAAAAAAATAATTATATAAAGCTAGAAATACATATATTTTTTTTATTTGCTATTAACTACTTTTTGTTCAGACCGATTTTTTTGGAGGAACGAGAAGTGAGCGTTTACGACTTGAAGGATCATCCAGATTTTCAATATAGACCTGGCACCTTGGTGATTCGAATAGCAAATTTCGAGGGTGAAGACACTGGATGTACTGCTGGTCAAGTGTTGGACAATTATCCAGAAGGACGAGTAAAAGTATGGTGGATTGACGATCACGTTAGTATGTGTTGGCCACAGGATCTGTATAAAGTCGGTGAGTACGATAGCGACGAAGGGGAACTATGGGATGATGTCTCGTCTGATTCATCGTGGGAAACGGAACTCGAAGATTGCTTCATCGCAGATAACGATGGCACTGAGCAGACGGAATTGGATAACATAAAACCGAAATTAGCGGCACACATTGAAAAAGCTAGAATTGCAATGTCGAGATTGGAGGAGATTTTTACACAAAACCCGTCCCTGCAGACAACAGAGGTGATGAGGAAACTTCTCGAGGTCTACAAAGATTGCCGTTATATGGATAAATTAATGGGTACCGCGTTCTTCCATGAGTGTCATTTCCAGGGACTTCTTGAGCGAGTGAGAGAACGTGGCAGAGCAAACGTCGCGCAACGCATGGCAGATCAAGTTACGAGACTCTTTACGCCTAAATCTGAATATCCAGAAGAATCCATAGATAAAGATGATTCGAAAAAATCGAATAATGGCGATGTTTCATGTGCAATTAGCGTAGAGGAAAAGCAAATTACCACAATTATCAACGGATCGGAGAATGACAATACTCCAATTATCGAAAATAATGTCAAAAAACAGACCGACGAAGAGAATGTTAATCGATTATTTATATGTCCCAATCCTAATCCTGAGGATTCCGGATTATATTCGGCGGAAAACTCGAAGAAGGAATCAGGCTCGAGTGAGTCCAGCGGAGAATTCCTTATAAGCGAGGACGTCAACAACGTACCAGAATGCTCATCTACAATAAATGGTATGACCACACCCGAGAAAACAGAAGCAAACAAAGTGAAAAAGGTACCAACGAGTCTACTGACTTCTCAGAGCATCGGAACATCACAAGTATGCGTCAAACTTTGTAATCTGATCAAAGCGCAACTAGTATTAGCGCATGCTGAAGTGTCGAAAAGATTCGGTTTGGGAAAAATGTCATTGTCAGACGCAGAGAAAACCTCATCTCCACGGAAAAAGCAGAAGGGCGAAGAAGAGGAACGCCTGGAAGTGATGACGGATCCGTCCTGTTCTATCGAGATTCCACCGACGGTTTATATCGAAGGCGAAGGCTTTTCCATTGAAGAGACTGCTCCCGACAGTCACAAATTCAAGCTGACCATGTTCCAGCCTACCGATCTGACCAACTTCTTCCGTACGGTTTCTAAAGAATTGAAGTTGCTCAAGAGCTCTCTCCCACCGGGTGTCTGGGTGAAGGGATTTGAGGACCGTATAGATTTGTACTCCGTGATGTTTCGTGGTCCCGAGAAGACGCCCTACGAGGATGGCCTTTTCCTTTTTGATTTCCAGTTGTCCGCTGATTATCCAGCTGCACCGCCTCTCTGTCACTATATTTCTTACTGCAGCGATCGATTGAATCCAAATCTCTATGAGGATGGGAAGGTGTGCGTGAGTCTGCTGGGTACCTGGTCTGGTCGTGGTACGGAGGTATGGACAAGTTCGTCCACTCTGTTGCAAGTGATAGTTTCAATACAGGGTCTGATCCTCGTAAGTGAACCATACTTTAACGAAGCTGGCTTCGAGAAACAGAAAGGTTCACAACAAGGACGCGAAAACTCAAGGATGTACAACGAGATGGTGGTGCTAAAGCTGGTACAGGCGCAGACTAAATTGTTGTTACATCCACCACCTGTATTCAAGGATATAATCATTGCGCATTTCAAAAAACATGCAGAGAAATTACTGCAAAGAGTGGAACTATGGATGGAGATATC